TTTTTCTATCGATTTAAAAATACTTTTGGTATTTGTCAAAGTTCAAACACAGTAATACACGATTACGCAAAATATAAACATTACATTAACAGAAATAATGAAACAACAATAAGGGTCATTTTCCAATGCATTGGCGTACTGTGCTTCACGTGATCGACAGGCGCTTATTCATTGGCTGTCGCCGAACGTCGCCAGCGGTCGCCAACTGCCCGCAACTGCCGACATAAACATTGACCATCTTTGAACTCCGCTGAAAGTAAAACGAACTGCCAACTTCTCGACCAACTGACTTTATAAATGCGCGCGTTCATTTCATAGTGTTGAACATTTTGAACGGCAACTGAACCTCAACTGAACCTCAACTTCCGAGTTTATAAATCCAGCTAACAGATAAGGTTGCGGTGATTAACTTCCCCCTCCTTATTATTACGAGTTACGGTTTACGAGATACATCCCATCATAGTGTGCATTCTTATTATAGATAATTAAAAAAAATATTAATAAATCTATTGAGGATTCAATTATCTTATAATATATAATATTCTTTAAACCTTAACTCTAATCTCGTTGGTAATAACAAGGTGTCGTGGGTTACTGGAGCCGGCAGCCTTGTATTGTATTATTTGCGATCGAACACGCAGATGAATCATATTCTTTGTTACTTTTTAGTCCTTATATTCTTCTCAGTGCACACCTACAACTCGGACATTACATAACAGTAAATTGCATAAACCTTAACAGGATTTTCTTCCCACAATTTATAGAAACAAACAATGTAGTTTGATAAGGCAGCGGCAACTTTGCATTTCAATTTGATATATTGTTTCGTGAATTTTTAATTTGGTTTGATGCACGCCACTGATAAAAGGATAATTCCCTTTTTGCTAATTAATCTATACTAATATATAAAATCCCATACTGATTAATCACGATCCTGCTCAAACCACTCAACGTAAGAAGCTCAATTTTGGCATACAGGTTGATTCTAGGGTGTGGAGGTTCGATAAGAAGGGATTTTTCGAAATTCCAGTTCCAAGAGGGTGAAACCACCCTTCAAATATTACAATATTTTTTATTTATAAAAAACGGTCAAGTTTCCGAAAAAACGCTTAAACACGTATATTTTATTTTGTTTTTTTATATATTTTAAGATTTTTTAAAAATGTATACAGGGTATTTCGAAAAATCTGGTCATTGATTAACACGATTCTGCTTAAAGCGCTTGACGTAAAAAGCTGATTTTGGAAAACAGATTGACTTTAGGGTGTAGAGGTTCGATAAGAAGGGATTTTTCGAAACTCGAATTTTAAGGGGGTGAAACTATCCCTCAAATATTAAAATATTTTTTATTTAAAAACCGGTGAGTTTTTCGGAAAAACTCTTAAACAAGTATATTTTATTTTGTTGTTTTACATATTTTAAGATTTTTTATAAATTTATACAGGGTATTTCATAAAATATGACCATTGAGTAATCACGATTCTGCTTAAACTGCTTGACGTTTAAAGCTGATTTTTGGCAAACGGATTGACTGTGGGGTGTAGAGGTTCGATAAGGAGGGGTTTCTCGAATCTCAAATTCCAAGAGGGTGAAAACGTCCCTCAAATATTACAATATTTGTTATTTAAAAAACTGTCAGTCTTTCGGGAAAACGCTTGGACAAGCATAATTTATTTGTTTTTTTTACATATTTTGAAATTTTTTAAAACATCATACAGGGTGTTCCAAAAAGTTGGGTAATTTCTTAACCACTATTCTGCTTAAACTGCTTGACGTAAAAAGCTTATTTTCGGCAAACGGATTTTTCGAGTCAAATTCCAACGAGATGAAACTTCCCCTCGAATATTACCAAGTTATATAATAATATCGCCATATTGTTTTTTTTCATGCTGACATAAATGTGAGAAAATTTTATCCAGTTTGTATGTTAATGGAATTCTTGCTTTGCTTTATCATCACCATTACAAATGATTGATTCGACGCGAACGAAGTCGCTGGTACACGCTAGTAATCTAACAGTTTTAGTTACCATACTCCTCCAAAACGGCTTAACCGATTTTGATGAAATTTTATATGTATGTTAAGTAGATCTGAGAATAGGTTGTTATCTATTTTACCCCCCCAAGTGATAAGGGTAGCGCCCCCTATTTTTTTTCAAAAATTTTCAAAATAAATTTTCTAAAAATCCAAATTTTTCAAATGTTTTTTTCATAAAAAAATATTAAAAAACATGCTTCTGAGGTTGAAATATACGACCCCTAAAATATTTAAGCTTATTTAAGACTCACCCTGTATAAGTTATGTAATAAAAAGTTTGTTTCAATATACACGGTGTTTTCAAGGAACGTAACACCGTGTAAAACAAAGGACCCTTTTAACTATAAAGGGTGAGCCTTAAAAAACTGCAAATGAGTTTAGGAGTGATATACAGGGTGGCCCATTAGTGCGAGGAAGTCGAATATCGGTTGTTGTCGCAGATATGAAAAAAAGTTTTATTCAGATGTTGCATGGTTTATAAAGGGGCATATCCTAAAAATATTTTGTTGTATACAGGGTGTCACATAAAAAAGTTATGATAAAGTTTTAAGTTTTTTTTAAATTGCACCGCCCCACAGTGGGGTATTTGACACAGATAGTTGATCGAAATTTTTTTATGTAGACCTTATATAAATTATTGCTATTTTCAATTAAAGAGGAAATAATATGAACAAAATAAAGGATAATTCTTCGATTCTAATAAAAGAAAGAAAAATCACTGTTCTAGTGTTTCCATGGTCAATGCCACTAATGCCAGTAGTAATATCGCAACTAATACTACTAATGCTACGACTGATCCGCGAGCAATGCCGATACCACTAAAGTCGCTACTAATGCCAAATTGTGCTATACTGCTAATGGCACTAATGCGATCGCTTTGTACACAACAATGCCATCGCGATTTACACCTCGCATTAGTATATCACTGATTGGCAAATTAGAGGAAACCAATAATGTTTTTCTCATTTTATCAGCAAAGTCGCAAAAAGTCGCAAAACGTCGCAGTATTTTATTTTACTGTATGAAAGCCCAATGTTTACTAAGTAAAACGTATATAGACAATATGCTGAATTCTTCGAAATGCGCAACTAAATCTCTAAGTATAATAAAAATGTGACAAATTTAATCAAATTTTCTGAACGCCTAACTTTTAGTTGCAAAAAAAATCGTTAGTATAGAGAATATCAAAATAAATAATACGTTTTTGTAGAATACACACCTGCAGCTTGCTGAGCTATCAAAACAATATAAACGTAAAAAGGGCACAAGAACAACAACAATTTATAATTTTAAACATAAAATTTAGCCATTTACCTCTTATCTGTGAGAAGTAACAACTTTGACGTTTCGTTGAAACGAATGAATGCAACTAAACACACCCATAGCAACGCCATTCATGGCAGACATGATTTAACTTATCATTTATCTTTTTTTGGGAAATCTTAAACACATTTGCTTTTACGAATTTCGATCACTTTTTTCATGCTAATACCCCACCGTGCGCCCATGTAATATAATACCTCGAATATCTGCAAAACCGTTAAAAATTTAGAAACTCTTTAAATACAAAAAATGTTCATTTTTCAATTCTGCATCGGAAAGAAAAATAATATGGTGTTGCTTTTAAAAAAAAATCGAGATATAGCATTTTAAATATTAATTTACACCCAGTATAGTAATTATTAATTATTTTAAACCAATAATTGTCGTATAGATGAGTGATATCTTGTATATCAAAAATATCATATTTGCTCAAAAGTAGGTAAATTATTATAATTGGTGAGGCCATAAAAAATACGACTTAGAGGATAATGCAAATTTTTCTACGCGGATTTATTCCGTCATCCTTGTTGTTTAGGAAAATATAGCCAAGTATTAATAAAGATACATATTATATTCACTCCAGATTTTTACCACTTTTCGGATATAATGTTTTTAACTAGTTTTAGTAAATAAGTAATAGAATGGCAACACCGAGTGCTTCAAGTAAAAATAGTGTACTAGATGCAGAATTTTATGCTGAATCCAGTTATCTACAAAAAAATGGGGGGGGGCAATTTAAAAAAAAACTTAAAACTTTATCATAACTTTTTTATGTCACACTCTGTAAACAACAAAATATTTTTAGGATATGCTCCTTTATATGCAACGTCTGTACAAACCTTTTTTCGTATCTTCGGCAACGACGACGATATTGGACTTCCTCGCACTAATGGGCCACCCTGTTTTTGCACCCCAGAAACACGTCTATAAGTTTTTTTTTTCGAAAAAAAACTAGATATTTTTTTAAATTTTTAGTTAAAAAACGTAATATCTTGATTACACAGGGTGTCCCAGAAATAAGTGCAAGTATTTTAACGGGTGGTAGATCTCGATAAACGAAACATATTTTATCTATATCGTTTTTCAAATAAGTCCAAAATAACGGAGTTATTTTACTTTTGAAAGTTTCCAAAAAAAAAATATTTTTTGCTAAAAATTTTGTAATTTTAATATAATTATTAATAATACTATGTTGCCATATTATCAAGAAATTATGTTTTTTAACTAAAAACTAAATAAATTTCCAAAAAAAATTTCAAAAAATTTCGAATTTTCAAAAAAACATTTTCGCGAAAAAACCCTCATAGGCGTGTTTCTGGGGTTAAACTATACTACCAGTTAAAATACTTGCACTTATTTCTGGGACACCCTGTATAGCAACATAGGTAGTAGATTAATTTGACAAGAAAGAAAACTCACGAAAAATCCAGTTTTTCTTTAAATTTAAGCAAAAAATATTTTTTTTTTAAATTTTCAAAGTAAAATAACTTGGTTATTTTGGACTTAATTGAAAAACGGTAAAGATCAAATATGTCTCTTTTATCGAGACCTACCAGCCCTGTGTGGAAATATTTGCACTTATTTAAGACTCACCCTGTATAGTGACTTAAAAAAAATCTAAATTAATTTATTTAACTCACCTGGATCTCTGCCTCCATTATCAGTGATATACGCAAACCCACCATCCGTATCATCCACCACAATGTCATACAAGAAACTACCATTAAAACTGGCTACATTTTCCGGAAAAGTATAAGTGAAAACAGTCTTCATCTCCTTAATATCGTACACAACCAATTTTGGTTTACATTTAACCACCGGACTCCTTCCTAGGGTCTCTGTCCTACCCCCATCTATAATCCAAATTTGACCCTTTGGATCAATCTCGATATTCTGGACATTTTGCAATGAATCACAGTCATGCAAGTTGTTCATCTCCCAGGAAGGGTAGGGGGTGAATAAGGGTGAAGTATCGTTAGTGTTCCCTGCAGGAATACGTGACAAAGTTGCAGGAACCCCGTTCCTCATTCTAGGATGAGTTACATAGTAAAATCCTTCAAAGTACTTGATTCCAGCCAAAATATTATTCTCCGGAATATATCCTTGTTGCAAGAAGGCGTTTTGGTAGGTTTCCGAGTCAGGCCATGTGAAATTAACGTAGTTCCATTCGCGTACGACCCGAAATTTGGCTAGGGTACCGCTGAGGACGGCTAGAAACAGTACCAGCGAGAATGATCGTACCGCGATCATGGTAGAAAAGTACTTTATCGACGTGAACCGCTTGATTCAGGTGTGCGGACTGAGGAAGATTTTGTTGTTGTGGTTGTTTTATACGGAGGTAGGTAGTGGAATTATATATATATTACTAAATAAATGTTAATCGGGAGTGTGGACTGGACTGGTTCTCTCTGTGTATGTGTTGTAGTGTGTAAACAACAGGCGGGTTTTTTCACCTCGAAATAATGGATGATGTTAATTTAAACAATGTTTTGGGTAACTTCGTAAAGTCTATTCAGTTTCTGTAAAATATGAGTGTGAGGCGCTAAAAAGGCTGGTAATATATATATATATATATATATATATATATATATATATATATATATATATATATATATATATATATATATATATATATATATATATATATTTTTTTTTTTTTTTTTTGGAAAATTCAACTAGTTTTTTTAAATATATACAGGATGTTTCAAAACAAATGTTAATAATTATCGTTAAATAATGCTAAATCACTAGATCCCCGCAATGGGAAAATCACAAGAACCCCGCAGTAGGAACATCACTAGGTTCCCGCAGTGGTAAAATCACTAGGTCTTCGCAGTGGGAAAATCACTAGGTCCCTGCAGTTAGCTAGCGATTTAAGTATAATGATTTTTAAGTAATGTTGTTTTTCCCACTGCGACGGCCTAATGATTTTCCCTCCGCAGGGACCTAGTGATTTTCCCACTAGGGGGTTTCCCGCAGTGGGAAAATCACTAGGGCCCCGCAGTAGGAAAATAATTAGGTCCCTGCAGTAGGAAAATAACTGGGTCCCCGTAGTGGAAAAATCAGTAGGTCCCTGCAGAGTGGGAAAATCGCTAGATCCGTGCTGCGGAAAATCACTAGGTCTTAGGATATACAAGGTGTCCCAGAAATAAGTGCAAGTATTTTAACTAGTAGTATAGTTCAACCCCAGAAACACGCCTGAGGTTTTTTTCGCAAAAAAAAAAAATTGAGAATTCGGAATTTTTGAAAAAATTTTTGTATTTTTTTTTAGTTTTTAGTTAAAAACACATAATTTCATGATAATATGGCAACATAGGTAGTAGATTAAATTTACAAGAAAGAAAATCCAGAAAAGATCCAGTGGTTCTCAAATTTTGAGCAAAAAATCATTTTTTTTAAATTTTCAAAGTAAAATAACTCCGTTATTTTGGACATTTGAAAAACTAAAAAGAAAAAATATGTTTCTTTTATCGAGATCTACCAGCCCTAAAATTATTTGCACTTATTTAATACTCACCCTGTATAACTGGGTTTGAAAGCAGCTAAATAACTGAACTTCTTTTCGGCAATAAAATCAATTTCTTTGTAATGATTTACATTTCAATTTTGAATTTCAATCACACAAGTTTTATGAAAAAAGCTAAAAAATACTTTTAATTTTTCTACGTTTTTTTTTAATTTTTCTCCGTTATTTATTGCAAAATAAAAGAAAAATAATTTAACAAAAAAAAAGTAAACTAAAACGAGAACACTAAGATAAAACAATGTAAATATATCTATCAATTACAGTATTCTTATTTCAGAGAAAAGCTATTAATAAACAATATTATTAAGTTTATAATAAACCGACATCTGTAATTGAAACAAGCCAGAACCTATGTATATAATAAATTTAAAAAAAAAGTTTTTCCCCGAATGTTTTGGTATATTATTTTCTAATAAATTTTTGATTACCTATAAAGAATTATGTCTCTGATTTGAAATTTCAAATAATGTATCGGGATTGTCCATTGACTTAATACATTTTAATTGATTATATTTTATTAGTTTTTGAAATAGAATTGACGTGGTGTAGTAAATAAAATACAAAATTACACTTACATCTACCTAAGCCTTCTTAGAAAATTCTTAATTTATTGTCTTCTAAATCTATATAATAAATCACTCATTTCTCATATAAAATGGTCTTTTTTGCAGAAGCGACCGTATAGCGAGTGAGAGTATTTTACGATTTTCAAATTATCTGATAATTTGTGAGATACAGAGACCAACTTAATTTTTTTAAATACGGACCTGCATTTTTTATTTCAGGTTTTGAAAGAACTCGGTCGCCTAAGTACAATGATATGCCATACTTTATACTTTTTTTTGTTTTGGGTACCTTAACAACAACTATTTAATTATTATTTAAAATTATTTCAACTCCGATTAAATTGTGTTCAAATGTCCGAAAGAAAAAAGATATTAAATTTGGCATATCATTGTACTTAGGAGACCGAGTTCTTTCAAAACTTGAAATAAAAAATGCAGGTCCGTATTTAAAATAATTAAGTTGACCTCTGTACCTCACAAATTATCAGCTAATTTGAAAATCTAAAAATACTATCAGATAGCCCTAATAAAGTGGTTATGCCAATGTGCAATTAGTTTTTCGATTTTCGAACGACAGGAAAGAATAAAATTGATTTTCCGAAAAACTCAGCAATCCTTGAAAAAACTTTTTTGATGACATCTTGGTGAACATCCCAACGCGCAACTTTGTCCCAATTTAACCATGTTCGTATCTATTATGGTTACCGAGATACCAAAGCTCGTACCCCAAATTTGTATCATCCTGTATACAGGGTTGTTCACCACATACGACACGGAGTATTGTAGCTAAACGATTAAATTTTTACAAATTGTAAGTTTTGGGTTCGTTGAAGGACTACTAGAGCTTAAATTTAAAAATATATTTACAAGATACAGAGTGTCCCAAATAAGTAAAAAATATTATAGTTGTATTTTTTTAAATGGTAAACACCCTGTATATTATTCTATTTTAGATTCTACGATTAAAATAAAGGTAAATTTGATTAAGGTTTACCACACTTAAATTTTACCCTTTTTGAAATATTTTCAATTTTATGAAATTGCAGTAAAAATTTTAAGGCTTCATTTCTCCAAGGATATCAAAGTTTTTAATACTAAATATTTACTGAAGATTATTTATTGATCGGATATTGCATTGCAATAATAAAAATTTTACTAGCCCATACAGAGTGTCCAAAAATTTATATTAAATAATTAATAGGTTTAAACGGCAATAACTTGTTTAATTTAAATGGAACACCCTGTATATTTTACGTGAGTCAGATGCAAAATTTAATTGTCTATCAAATTGTATTATACCATTTTTTACCCTTCTCTTCAAGTTTTCGTAGAAAAGGCATTTTCTTATAATTTAGACCTCATTTATCACTATACCCATGGAATATTGACATTTTAGATTATTTTTAAAAATGTAACAAATTTTCAAAGAGATTACAGTACAGATTACAGTTGAGGGTTGGAACCTTTGGTGTTACACAGCAAAATAAAAACACTAATTCACCACAATACACCAAAACACTTTTACTTTTACACTGGACGCGCGTTTCGCTAACCATGTTAGCATCATCAGCAGATGATTATAAACTGTTATAATTTAACTGTAGTTTATAATCATCTGCTGATGATGCTAACATGGTTAGCGAAACGCGCGTCCAGTGTAAAAGTAAAAGTGTTTTGGTGTATTGTGGTGATTTAGTGTTTTTATTTTGCAGTACAGATACTAATATTGTCGATTTAGTTCGCTTATTTCATTAAAAAATAAAAAAAAACTGTTTAAATATTTTTTGTTACAGAGGACCAATTAATATGATCCCAGTATTCAAACTACATTAATTGACTGTTTAAGTTGATTAATAATAATTGTTCGAAATACTAAATAACTGAATTTTGTGGGTGTATTAAACAGTGTGATAAAAAGTAACACCTTCTAAATTTTATTTCATTTTTTGACGAATGCTTCCTTAAAACAATAGAGACGTTCATTATCATAACTTATTATTATATTGATTTCTGAGCTAAATCCACATTTATTTAGAATAATTTATTAATTAAAACAATTAAGTATGTATAATTAACTTTTAATTTTTAACTTTATGTAATTAACTAATTTTTGGTCGGAAATAATATTGGTATATTTAATTGGTATGCTAGTATACTTTTTTACAAAGATTTAAATAGCTTTTTTTGTATACAAACGGGCTTGCAATATTATTAATTTACCACCTGTAGGTACATTTTTACATATATTATGTTGCTTTAAAAAAATCTGAAATGTCAATATTCCATGGGTATAGATAGTGACAAATGAGGTCTAAATTAAAAAACGCATTTTCTACGAAAACTTGAAGAGATAGGTAAAAATGGTATAAAACAATTTGATGGACAGTTAAATTGTGCATCTGATTCACGTAAAATATACAGAGTGTTCCATTTAAATTAAACAAGTTATTGCCGTTTAAAGCTAGTAATTATTTAATATACATTTTTGGACACTCTCTATAAGGTAGTATTTTTTTATTATTGCAACACAATATCAATAAATAATCTTCAGTAAATATTTAGTATTAAAACCTTTGATACCCATGGAGAAATGAAGCCTTAAAATTTTTACTGCAATTCAATAAAATTGAAAATATTTCAAAAACGGTAAGGTTTAAGTGTGATAAACTTCAATCAAATTTACCTTTATTTCAATCGTAGAATCTGAAAATAGAATAATATACCGTTTAATATATAATGTTTTTTACTTATTTGGGACACTCTGTATCTTGTAAAAATATTTTTAAATTGTAGGTCTAACAATTTGTAAAAATCTAATCGTTTAGCTACAGTACTCCGTGTCGTATGTGGTGAACAACCCTGTATATGATGGGAGCAGTTAGAATGATATTGCAAGTAAATATTTTTTTCCTTGTAACTATATTCATTATATAGAAAATTATAGTTTTTTACTATAGTGCTTTGTTACTATACTAGTTAAAAATAAAAACTCATAGAAATGGTACATGTAATTGGATTACCAGCGAACAGCACGTTTATATTTTTTATTTATTTACTACTAAGTATTTAAATATTTAATTTCAATTATTTTTTAAAACACTATTCGATATTCAATGACACCGAGATGCTTATGTCGCGCTGAATGACCAAAATCATTAAATTGTCACCGTACACATACGATTTTACATCTCATCAACAAAACATATAGAATATTAATAGGCAAACGTGGAAAAATACACTCGTCCCACAATAATAAACCTTGAAAAGCACAATAGTCGAAACGTTTAACGATGAGGAAATTCTTTTTGAATAATTAGTTTTATACAAATAAAAAATATATTGACAATTTAACTTAGAATATTGTAGGAAACAAAGATCCATTAAGTTTGTGGTTGGCACAGATCGAAACTAACGGTAGAGTTTTTCAATGATTTTCGTTTAATTATAAATTAACTTAGCAAATATATTTGAATATTATTTTCACCAATAACTCATAACAAGAGTTATTACTTTAATAATATGACAAGACCATAAAGTAAAATATGATATACAGGATGGTCCGAATTGTATTCGGGAAACTTCGGCAATAATACTATACAACATTCTGAACTCTTATTTCAATACGAGGGTAGTCTTTTATACAGGGTTGTTCACCATATACGACACGGAGTATTGTATCTAAACAATTAGAGGTTTACAAATTGTAAGTTTTGGGTTCGTTGAAGGACTATTAGAGCTACAATTGAAAAATATTTTTACAAGACACAGTGTCCCAAATAAATAAAAAATATCAAAGTTGTATTTTTTAAATATGCATATTATTACATTTTTAGTTTCTATGATCAAAATAAAGGCAATTTTGATTAAGGTTTATTACACTTAAACCTTACCGTTTTTGAAACATTTTCAATTTTATGAAACTGCAGTAACACTTTTTCCAAGGGTATCAAAGTTTTTAATAATAAATATTTACTGAAGTTTATTTATTGATCAGTTATTGTGCTGCAATAATAATAATACTAAATAATACTACCTCATACAGAGTGCCTAAACATTTATTTTAAATAATTTCTAGCTTTAAACGGCAATAACTTGTTTAATTTAAATGGAACGCCAGGTATATTTTAGGAGAATCAAATGCACAATTTAATTGTCTATCAAATTGTATTATACTCTTTTTACCTATCCCTTCAAGTTTCCGTAGAAAATGCATTTTTTTATAATTTAGACCTCATTTATCAATATATCCAGCCCATTACTAGCCCATTTGTATGTAAAAATAAAACTATTTAAATCTTTATAAACGAGTATACCTTTAATTAACTATACCACCCTTTATTTCCGCCAGAGTACTAATTAATTACATACTTAATTGTGTTCGTTAATAAATTATTCTAAATAAATGTGGATTTGAATCAGAAATCAATATAATAAGTTATGAAAATGAACGTTTCTGTTATAAATAAGCATTTGTCAAAAAATGAAATACCTATCATTTTTAAGGTTTTACTTTTTACCACACTGTCTAATACACATACAAAATTCAGTTTTTTAGTATTTGGAACAATTATTATTAATCAACGCAAACAGTCAATTAATGTAGTTTGAATACTGGAATCATATTAATTGGTCCTTATTAACAAATATTTAATTTTTTTAATGAAATAAACGAACTATATCGACAATATTAGTATCTGTACTCTTTAAAAATTTGGTACATCTTTAAAAATAATCTAAAATGTCAGTAGTCCATGGGTATATTAATAAATGAGTTCTAAATTACAAGAAAATGCATTTTCTATGGAAACTTGAAGAGATAGGTAAAAAATGGTATAATACAATTTGATAGACAATTATTAAATTGTGCATCTGATTCTCGTAAAATATACAGGGTGTTCCATTTAAATTAAACAAGTTATTGCCCTTTAAAGCTAGTAATTATTTAAAATAATTTTTTAGACACTCTGTATAAGGTAGTATAATTTTTATTATAGCAACACAAAATTCAGTAAATAGAAATACTTCAGTACAATATTTGGTTTTAAAAACTTAAAAACGCTTAGAGAAATGAAGCATTAAGATTATTACTGTATTTTCACAAAAACCTAAATATTTCAAAAACTGTAAGGTTTAAGTGTGATAAACCTTAATCAAATTCGCCTTTATTTTAATCGTAGAAACCAAAAATGTATAATATACAGGGTGTTCCATTTAAAAAAATACAACTTTGATATTTTTTATTTATTTGGGACACTCTGTATTTTGTAAAAATATTTTTAAATTGTAGCTCTAATAGTACTTCAACGAACCCAAAACTTACAATTTGTAAAAATCTGATCGTTTAGCTACAGTACTCCGTGTCGTATGTGGTGAGCAATCCTGTATAAGTAGTTTTATACAGGTACGGACAAAAAGTTATTACTTATCAAAACAGTTAAAAAATATGTAGGTGGTAACATAAGGATAGTTCGATTCCTATCTTCCTGCACTGTCAGTTTTTTTACGTCATCTACTGACCGAGTTGAAGTTGGCGCCAAAGATTTTAGACAGTGACAGTTATTTTTGCATTTGACGGACGAGCGCACAGTGCGTTGGAAGATAAATTTAGCGGGACAAAAGCGTTTGGTTAGAAATAAGCCAAAAAATGTGTACTGATAAGAATAAATACTAGACATTCCAATTGATACAAAAATGCATGAATATTCTTTGTATTTCGATACATTTTTATCAACCAAATTTGGTCGTTTTCTGCTCAGCAAGGCAGAGATCATACGAAAACAAAATATTTACAAGTGCCTATACATTTTATTAGAAAGACAAATTATGTTGAAGATTGCCAAAGGTACGTACTTTTCTACTGGACGTATATTATTTGTTAAAATCCTTCGTGCCTTTGTTCTGCGGATATCAAACTTGCACTTTTTTTTCAAATATCGATATTTTGAATGATGTAGATCTTTTGAGTTACCAATAGTTACCAACACAGGTAGTCACAGTCAGAGGGAGTTTAAGCTTAACAGGTGAATGCCCAAAAAGATTAATTTCAATCGGATAGTATAAAAACAAAACAACTCCATCAAAAGGCACTGAGTTTAAAAAATTGTCTTAGATACTTACTATATATGAATTTACAATTACCGAGTGTTAAAATTAAAATTAAAATATCTATCTTATTTATTATTTTCAAAATAAAATATATTTTTTTAAAATAAATTATAGAGGGTGTCACAAGATTACAAATTAATTAAAAAAAAAAACTGCTAAAGAGTTTTTTGATATCATAATTTTATGTATTTGGCAACAGTTTACAATACGGTTTTTGTGTGTCATGTACGAATAATATCATAGTTTTATTATCTTGTATTTATTTATTAATAAATTAAGTTGTTAATAAATAAATAAATTTAACCATATAGTTGCTGTATATTAAACCATTTGCTACGTTCTTAGATTTTAAGTCCCAAACATTGCTCTTGAGATTTTGTCCCGCTAGAATAATCATCCGCCGCACTGTGGAGCGCTGGTCAGCGCGTGACGTAGCATTCCACGGCGACTACGACAGCGGCGATTTGACGCGATCGAACAGTCCTTTAGAATATATAAAGTCCTTGGGTGGTAACATCAAAATCAAATTTCTCATGTCAAAAAACTACCAGATAGCAATTTTCATCCAAATATCGATAGATATCCATTAACGGCTGATGTAGGGGGGACAGGGTATTTCCCATCCTCCTCTGACAAGTGTCCATCCTCCAAGGAGTGGACGTCTACTTTTTACGAGGGTATACACCTTCCAACGGTTGGGGTTTAGCCCACCGTGCCCTTCACAGTCGAGGAGCTTGTCTCCGGCAGAGGTACTCTTGAAGTGGAAGCTGAAGAATCCATCTCCATTTTCTCCTCCTCTTTAACTTGGTCTCTTCTTTAAGTATATTTATGTTAGACCTAAAATAGCCGAATAGAAGAAAACATTTATAAAGTTTTGATGTGTCACGAAAAGGAGACTTTTCAAAATCAAAAGAGTTCTTAACTCTTAAGTGTGAGCTTCACCCCAAAAAACCACCCCCAATACGCCCTTCGATGGTTTTTCGCTTTTTTCTCAGAACCTGTTGGTGCCACAAAAAAAATTATACTTACCAAAAATATTCCTTATAAAATTTGCTACAAAAAATGTTCTATTCATTATTTATATTTATCCAATGTATTTCGAGCAATAACCGTTTGAAAATGGAGTACAAAAAAAATACAGGTGGCCTTTCAAATTATAGTCTCCCAAGGTATTTTAACGTGCTAAATATACACGCAAGAGATATAATACTGTATAATATAAACAAAAACATTGCCTATTCCACTAAACTAACATTCATACTTTCATCTACATATTGTCATCGTCAATAGTTTCTAGAATGTGCTCAGTATTCGAACAACTTTGCTCACGACAGGTTCCGCACATAGTTGTGCATTTCATGCTGGCTTTAATGCAACTGCATCTTTTTACACAATCTTGTTTGCAGTTGCACGTTATTAATGACATAATTGAAGCAGGGGCGGGCGATTCTGTTGTATATAAAGGTGACAGGGTGTTGTTGACTTTCTTCCAGCCCCACTGGTCGGGTTTTATAGGTTGTATTTGTACTTGAATATAATGTTGTCCGGGAATGTTGCCTAGCTGCAGTAGATGTGGGAGGCAATTTTGATAAAAAGTACCGTGCTGTTTGCTTGACCAACTAACTTTCAATACTTTACTTTTTCGTATCCGGATTATATTATAGTTTATTAACCCAGTAATGGGCTATGTCAATGCTTCCCGTTTATCCAGTCATAGGTCATCGAGGGTACATCTGTGGGGGCACGCAGGACATTGAAGAAGATGTTCCATGTCCTGAAAGGCGCCGCAGTCGCATTTGTCGTCATTTCTGTCCAGCAAACCCCATTTGATCAAATTGGATTTTACTGGGGCCACCCCAGTTCTGATTCGGTTGAGCATTCTCCAGGTTTTCCAGTCGCTAGAAACACCATTTGGTGGGTCCTCTCTAAGGGGTAGAGGGAGGGAGGTTCATCCAGGGGGTGGCTTAGGAAACGGCGTCTGGATTTAAGTCTACCTGTGCCGCACTCTTGGCCAAAAATTGAGTGACGAGCATCAAAGGTTTGTTTTAACTTCTCAGTATGTTCATGAGCTTTTCTGCGTAAATCGGGGCTTGTAAAACCTGCGGCCTTGTAAAGGTTTTCTAAGGGGGTAGGTTTCATACAACCTGTCACTATTCTGCATGTTTCATACAGACTGATGTTCAACTTTTTTGCATGGACAGATCTACACCACACTGGGCAGGCATATTCTGCAGTTGAAAAACACAGAGCTTGAGCAGAAGTTCTGACCACAGTAGGTTTGGCTCCCCATTTACTATTGGTCAGCTTCCTTATAAGGGAATTTCGTGCTTCTACTTTTTTACGTGTTTTTTCGCAGTGATATTTGTAAGTCAATGTTCTGTCCAGCACGACGCCAAGATAGGTAGGTTTATCTGTGTGTTCTAGTTGTGTACCGTCCCATGTAACATTAAGTCTGCGGGTCGCCTGTCTCGAATTAAGGCGGAATGCACTCACTTTAGTTTTGGTGGGGTTGGGTTTTAAAGAATTCTTTTTGTAATAGGTTGACATTGTTTTTAGGGCGCTTTCTAGTTTCTCCTCGATATCTTCGAACCCTTTGCCTTCAACTGTTATTGCTAGGTCATCTGCATATGCAAAGGTTATAGTGTTATCTGGAATAGGTTGGTCATTTGTATATATGTTGAAAAGAATTGGTGCCAGCACGCTCCCTTGTGCCAACCCATTATTCTGGTTTCGCCATCGACTCTTTTTGCCCTTGAGCGTCACGAAAAACTGCCTGTTTTGGAGCAAGGATTCGAGTATCTTGACTAGGTGGTACTCTTTCAAAGTCTCATTGGCTTTATGCAGTAATATCTTGTGGTTTACCGTGTCATAGGCGGAACTTAGGTCGACTAGGGCCAGCCCTGTGATGTGTTTATTCTCAAAACCCTCCTCGATATGTTCTGTCAATGCGAGGATTTGACTGGTGCAGGACTTTCCAGGTCTGAATCCTGCCTGTTGTGGAATCAGCTTTGAATCGACGGTCTTCTCTATTCTGTAGAGGATTAGTCTTTCGTAGAGCTTAAACAGATGGCAAAGGAGGGATATGGGTCTGTAGCTTTTCGGAGACTCTGGATCTTTTCCGGGTTTAAGGAGAACTACTACTTTTGACTTCCGCCACAGTTTTGGAATTTAAAAGGTTTCGCGACATACGTTGAAAAGTTTAAGTATCCATTTTTTGGTTCCAGGACCGAAATTTTTGATCTGTTCCACGCATACATCGTCAATCACAGCGGCTTTTCCATTCTTCATGGTATTTATACCATTGTTCAACTTTTTCATGGTAAATGATTTCTGAAAGTTGGTGTTTTCAGTTGGTATTAGGCGTTTGATTTTGGTTTTCTGGCGTTTCGAGTTGAATTTGCCATTTAGAAGGAGTTGGTTGGCCACTTGATTGGGTGTTACATTGGAAGGGGCCTTGCTTAGTTTTGGGTCACCATCCAGTTTCTTGATTAGATTCCAAGCTATTTTACTACTATGAGACATGCCCATTCTATCCAGGGTTTCTATCCATTTCTTCTCACGTGCCTCGCTGAGAGCTGTCATTAAAGCTGTTTCGCAGGTGATGGTTTGATCGCTGAATGGATCTTTCGCAAACAATTGTTCGTACTGCTCCAGGGTGTCCCTTGAGGCATTCGAGAGCCCTGGAATGTAATGTTGTCTGCAGCCCCTAGGAATATATCGTCTGGATATCTTTCGCAGGGACTCAACAAAGATGTGGTAGTTGCTTGGTGTTGGGGCCAAATTGGTTATTTCCTCATCCAGCACTTGGGAGTATTCTGGCCACCTGGCTTTCATAAAGTTGAATCTCCTACGGAAAGATATTTTGGTTGTTTTGATTGTAGAGTAGACTTGGATTCCGATAGGTCGGTGTTGTGTCTTTGGAATTGCATTATATACATTTTTGCAGCAGGTGTCATGGATGTTCCTACTGACAAAGCAATTATCGGGGTTATAACCTCGCTTCCAAATTTTGCTGTTGAAAGAGCAAGGGAGCTTGGGATCGTGGAGAAGTGAGGGGCTGGTAGCCTCAGCCCATTGCTCCAGCAATTGACCATTGGAGTCTGTTTCGCCATATCCCCAGGTGGTGCTGTGACAGTTAAAATCGCCCACAACAAATTGAGTCTTCTGGTTGTTAAAGTTTCCTGGCATTGAAAGGTCTAGCTTTTGGCCAGGGGGTTTATATACGGAGCTTATCGTGAATGATCCGCTCTCGATAGTTAACACTTCAATGTCGTGGTAATAAGTAAAGTAAGTAAGTAAAGTAAGCACACTAAGGCTCCCTTCAGATGATTGAAGATTGTATAGTTTCAGTATAAACGTCTCTCCAGCTTTTTTAATTTCTTCAGGTGTTGACTTTGCGTTGTTAAAAAATCGACGATACTATCAAGGTCTTTTTCTTTATTAAATATTTGTACGTGTTATTGTTTCCCTTTTCCAAAAAATCCTGATGTTGTGTCACGCCCGCTAATAGCGTGAATGAATAAAATTGATTCTTTTAAATTACGTATAATACTTGATGATTGCAAGTCTCTCGAACTATACATTCGATGTTTCACATTACCTATGGCTTCTTTCAGAAAAAGAATGTATTTTTCATCGGGGGAAAGTGCTGCTAATAAAACAAGATCGACATCTTGTCCAAGGACTAGAACTTGTTCATTTTTCTCAGATATTTGGATGGCAGTACGAATAATTTGAACATCAGGAAACAGGATTGTGTAAGAAGATGCAGTTGCATTAAACCCGGCATGAAATGTACAACTATGTGCGGAACCTGTCGTGGGCAAAGTTGTTCGAATACTGAGTACATTCTAGAAACTATAGACGATGACAATATGTAGATGAAAGTATGAATGTTAGTTTAGTGGAAGTAGTTTTAGAATAAAATAAGTTACAAAATGGCCGACTGGTGTTAATGTCCAGCAGTGAGACAAAATATATTTCCCAACAGTGAGACAGTGTCCGATAGACAGTGCACCCGTTAAGACTGGGACATAGGTACCTTTTGGGCACTCGTTGGCATTGTTGAACATGTCTATCATGTTATTGATTGTTATATAACAGAGTTTTTCTTTATTTTAAGTCGAAGTTACATTAACAACAAAAATCTATGAAACTCTTTTTTTTATTTCGTTAGATGATTAAGTTAATTATATTTTTAGCACTTGTGTTTATATTTTAAGTTCTTTGTTTAAGACAGCTCTACCTTTGTTTAATGCCAAACGCAAATAAATACTCATAACTATTTTTAAGTAATTAATAAATAGTTATTTGTTTAAAATTTCCTTTGTCTTACTGTTAGACCTTAGGGCCCAACAATGAGACAAATGCAATAATAACAATATTGTTAATTTTAAGACATGTTTTTGTCTCAATGAGAGTAGTTAATTAAAGGTGCTTAGGAGAGAGTGGTTGCCTTTAAAGTATACTAAAATAGTTTATTTTGATGAAAAAATAAAATATCTTTTACGGTCTAAAAAAATGTGTCTCGCTGTTGGGCATTCTCCCCTACCCGTTGCGTTCACTACACCGCATCGGAAGAAGATCCTATATTTTTCTTTAATTTAATCCTATAAATTCTAGTATTGAATATAAGTCAGGGCAAAGACTTTTTTATTTTATTTTCGTTTATATTCTGATAGTAAAGTATTAAATAATTCTGGTGATTCAAAAAAAAAACAAATATTTAATACTTTATATCAGAATATAAACGAAAAATAAATAAAAGTCTTTGCCCTGACCCGGATCTGAACTCTGAATCTTCGGTTCGTGGCTGGAAACCTACGCACTGCGCTATGGAGACATGTTTGATTTATATTCAATACTAGAATTTATAGGACTAACAAAAACTATAGGTTCTTTCTTTCAATGCGCAGTAGGGGAACGCAACGACCACCCGCAGCCAGACGGAAGCGGCATGCTGTTCTAGAGAGTAAATATATATCAAAGAGCCAGACGTCTTAAAATACTGTAACGTTTTTAGTTCGTTACATGTATTTTTTTTATATATGATTTATATGATGTCTGGCGTATCGTCACCTCGATTCCGTATCGTTAGCGATATATTTACTGGTTTTATATTTACTTTACTATCAGAATATAAACGAAAATAAAATAGGTGCCTCTTTGCCCTGACTCCGGATCTCGAACTCGATGAATCTCAAGGTAATTCGTGGTTCGAAACTCACCCGGCACTGCGCTAAGGGAGACTATGTTTGATTTATATAAAAATAGTTAGAATTTATAGGTCGACTCAACAAAAAATATAGGATCTTGGGATTCACGCAGTAGGAACGTGCACGTTTACCCGCAGCCAGACGGGCCGCTAGCCTAACCTAACCATCCCAGCTATTAGAAATGGTGATTATTTAAATCTTGCTGTATAATCTGAATCAGCTGCTATTTCAAAGCAACAGGTAAAGATGAGATATTATCCTTTTAGATTCGATATTATTACTGCATATTTTTAGGGTAGAGTTTTGGATGTCCCAACTTAACCTGTATTTGTATTTTGCTGGCACGTTGGCCTCCTGTTTCTTTTGTCCTCCAGAATGTTACATGGAAGAAAGGACAGTTTCTTTGTTTATTATTGAGCCCTCGGAAGTAATTCGAGGTAGGTTTATTTTGCTTAGTAGACCCTGTTTGGTTTTAAACAAGAGCTTCATATTTTAGGGTCCAAGGTACGGACTATTTCCAAGGTTATAGTCCTAAGTTATGGTCCAAGGTACGGACTATTTACAAGGTACGGGCATTATCCAAAGTCCTAGTAGTATCCAAGGTACGGGTAGTGTTCCCCTGTACCGTTATCTTATGGACGGACTGTGTCCAAGATTATGGTCCAAGTTACGGACATTATCCAAGGTCCTAGTAGTGTTCCAAGGTACGGGTAGTATCCCCATATTGCTACAGTATGGATACAGCGTAAGCCCCATGCTGCTTCGTTCCCACTTCTCAGTCTAGTCAGTAGTTACGGCTGTATCAATTCATGGTGTCCTCACTCTGGCCCCCTTTTGTTGTATTAGATGGCCGAGTACAGAGATGCAAGCCCACCTCACGCTGTTACTGTTTGAAGCAAGATTACATAAAGAACAGCTAAGTTTAGATTTAAGATTTAGCTTACATTTAACATTTAACACATTTTCAGTCGATTTTCAGTCTTAACTTAACGTACATTTTAAACGATATCGTACAGACTATATTCAGTGGTTAGATTATTTTAGGGCAAGAACATGGGCAATTGCAGCTAATGAGAAGACTTGATTGAAGATATAAATAAGGCCACAGAAAGGTACAAGCTGCGTTCTGTTCATTTTGAATTTAAAATATTTACCAATTCACTTTGTAACCGTATAAAATACAATGCAGTACTACTTTGTTTCCTACCAGCAAAAATAGAAGTTTCTAAGAACATTTATGTCGATTTAGTAGTTACAATATGATTTAGATTTTAGGTTTCATTACGTACGCCTTGTAATAGTATTACTTTTTATAGATATTATTATTGCACTAACATCATATAAAATATATCAAATTAATTAAAGTAATGCTACATTTCATATATTCTCTTAAACGTTACATGTCTTGTATTTTATCATAGTTGTTTTCATAGATATTTAGTACAATTCTTAACACCACTTTCGTTGACATATAACCACTATAATAATTATTAAAATTGTACAATGCTATTTACCATCACAGTCCATCATGAATAAATATAGTCATTAGTTTTAAGTAATATACAAATGTGTTTTCTTTCTCTGTACATGCCTGGCGCCCAATATCTATATTTTTTTGTTTATTGTTATTGATTAGTTTTCTCTCTAGTGAAATACCTAACCCACGACTGCTCTCCGATGAAAAGCTGCCGTTCGCAGTGGTAATGTTTATAAAAAAACGTTACAATACTTGTTTTTCCGACGTTGCTAGCTCTCGTACTATAAGGACATTTTGACAGGAGACAAAGGCGGAAGAAATAATATACCTGTTTCGTTTTCACTAGACATTTATCAAAAAAAAAGAGAGACTTGTGCCTTTTAAGTAACAAAAATAATTTATTAATGATTTCTCGAATATAACCTAACAGATACACTTAAAAAAACAGTCCAGTACTTCATCATCATCAGGAAAAAAATTGATCTTATCAAAAAATCAGACTAGAAAAGAGTTTCAGTACACGAATTTTCGAGGAACAGCGCAAACGGCAGATTAGCTAGCGTCAGTTATTCGAGCAGATTCGATAGTTGATAAAATCTTATAAAAAATATAGTGATTTGATATTACAGTAGACATATTATAAAAAAGGCCAGGAGGGCATTAAAAGGTAGAAGAAAGCTGCAAATTTTAATATTTTTTAATATAGCTATCATCTCTCTGAGTTCTACATGAATTATAGTATAATATGCTCAGGTATGTCAGACCTTTATAAAAGGTTTGAAGGGTTGGTACATGTGGATAATGTGCCATAATTAGTGTAGAACCAAGAAAGAGACAGATATCTTTCATGCACTTTAATACCGTACGTACGGCGTTCAGTTGGCTTGGAAATGAACATCGACGACATTCACAGCGATCTTCATTTCATAGCCATCGCTGACGCCGTTTTTTTTTCGATCATATTGTATATACACAACAAGAAAGATATTGAAATTTGAATCTTAGTTGAATTGTTTAATGCTCTTCTGGTATTTTTAGAACATCTTAACGGATGAAAATATACAAAAAAATATAAGTCTACTTAAAGCTAAACAATTGAACGAAACAACCGATGCACGTCATAGTCTTTTGCTGCTGTTAATTGTAGACAATGTTCCAGATTATACCTAAAATTTGAGTTAATTTATCTTATAAAAATTATACAGGGTGGCGCACCTCATTCGCCTCTGTCGATTATACGAAAACGGAAAGATGTAGAAACAAAATATTTTATGGATATATGTAGAGAGGCAATGTGCACGGTTTAAAATTATTCCTAAATATACAGGGTGTTTCAGAACTAAGATCCATACCAAAGTTATATTTTTTCTTGTTTTTATTTCATTTTTGGATTCTTGAGTCCATAAAAAGGAATATATTATAATGGTTAAATATGTTTAAAATCTTTGGTTTTTGAGATATTTAAAGATATTTAAATATGCATGCTACAATAGAAT